GATATGAATTAGGAAGAAATAACTAAGATAGGCCGGGTTAGGTTGTTACAAACAAATTACCTCCACTAAATTTTCTCTTACCTGCTTCTGCTGGCACAAATGACCATTTAGCAGGTCTGATAATGGCTCATCTGTCAAATGTCTATCGAAAAGCGTGGTTGGGTTGGGGATATGTCAACAACCCCGAATTTTCTCTTGCTGACAAATACCCGTTGATTTCGACACTTGCAGCTTCTGCAGCTACGTGAGTTTCAATTTTGAAGCATTTTTTCGTTCCAGAGCATTAACTTGAAAATTGGTGAACTGAAGTTTCTTCTCGAGTTTCCTCCCCTCCCCACAGGAACGGAACTTGCATATATAGGGGCTTCCAGAGTGAAGATTTTAGGGTAGGCCAATGCGCTCTAGAAGTGATAACTCGATTTCGATGGGACATTGTTTCAATAATCTACACATCTAATGAAGTGCGATTCTGTGACGACATAATGGACTCATTAATGGTATTCAAAAAGATTTTACTTTCTATATCTAGCAACCCTTTTTCAGAATTCACTCAGCGATGCAAACGCTGCATTCACGCCTAGAATTGCTCTCAAACAGATCGTAGATCCGAATGATGATGAATCATACAAGCAAACCTTACGACAGATTAAGGCTAGATCACGTGGTATGTTTGGTTTCGTGTCATAGGACTTCATAGTGTGATTTTGTCAAATTTCAGTGGTTATTTTTTGCATGGACCTCGTAAATGATCGGCGCGGATTCCTGATAAAAGCGGACCAAATGGGAATGACGAATAACGAATACGTGTTTTTCATGTTGGGGCTGCGTAGCAACGCTTTCGGTCAGGACATTCTCTATAGACGCTTGGGGCATTGAAATGCCTGGGCCTGTTGAGGGGTACTAATCGCAAGGTCTTCATTAAGCCACTGCTCAAGGAATCGTGCCGAGAAAATTATTTCTTTTTCTTCAGTACCAAACAATTTAGCTAGTTTGTCCCAAAAAAGTCTTCTAACTACCGACTGAGACGTCTTCGGAATTGAAGCAAACCGTTCATATGATGCGATCGATAGGAAAAAAGATAATCTGCTAAAATGAGTTCTCAAGTGTACATTGGATAGTAACGTATTCCGAGGTTAAGTCTTGCAACAGTTATGACGACTTTATTAACTCAACATTTCGAACAACTCGTCTTCGTCACGAGAAAGGATCATAGCACTAGTACTCGTAATTGAACTACACCGCCAAACGTTTTTCAAACATTGCTCGTCCAGACCTTCCCTGGTGCAAT